AGGTACTGTCAGGAGCAGCATGTCCTTCTCTGGCTCAGACACAGGGAGGAAACAGTAGCAGGTAATGGAAAAACTGCTTTTCAAGTCAGACAGACCTAGATAGAGTCAGCCTATTTTAGACAAGGACCACTGTGGACTACAGGATGCAAAATGCATGGTAACCAGTGTTGGTTTCTTGTAGTTTTTAATTAGTTATGTAACCAAAGAATTTCCATATGTAAAATAGAAATATATATTTCATATAGTTGCTGTGAAAATTAGCTAAGGTAATGTGTATATGTCAGCTGTTCTAGCTCCTGGCACCAGAAGTACTAAGTACCTGGTAGTTTATTTTTATCTACTCTCTTCCCTTTTATTCCCTTAAAGGCTAAAAGTCTTCTCACTTAACACTGTATGTACTTACTAGACTGAAATGATAAGGGCTTGGGCTGATCTCCGTTCCCATCAAGGTTGTCTTCTAAGGCCCTTGCAGCCACTTTCCTGGTCTGGTCTGCAGAATCTCCATCACAACAGTATGTTATGGTATGATGGTCTGAGACAGTGGAGAGAGGCAAAGACATGGGCAGATTACTTGAGCTTATTATAGTCACTTATTTTATTTACTATATAGAAAAGTAATATTGGCCCTGTCCAGAATTTAGGTGCAGTCCAAATCTACTTTTAGAAAGAATGGAAGTGAGTATCCCTTTACCCCCATGATCCTGAAGCAGTTTGTGTACCGGTAGCTTTCTGTTACTATAACAAAATACTTGAGATAATTAACTTACAAGGAAAAAAGGTTTATTTTGGCTAACAGTTTTATAGGTTCCAGCCAATGCTTGACTCCATTGCTTTGAGTCTGTGGTAATGAAAGCATGTGGTAGAACAAAACCATTTACCTCAAGACTGAGGAGAAAAAAGGGGGGGGGTTGTTTGCTTTTATTTGGTGTGTGTGTATATTCATGTACAGGTGCATGTGGAAGCCAGAGGTCTACCTTAGGTCTTGTTCCTCAGATGCTATCCACCTTGTTTTTTGAGTCATGGTCTCTCACTGGCCTGGGACTTGCTTATTAAGCTAGGCTAGCTGACTACTGATCCTTGGGAACCACCTGTCTCTGCCTCCCCAGTGCTTGGATTATGAACATGAGCCACTATGCCCAGCTTCTTTATGTGGATTCTAGATATCAAGCCTAGGTTCTCAAGCTTGCATGGTAAACATTTTACTGACTGAACTATCTTCCCAGCCCCTTTATTTCTTAAGATACTTCTCTCTCTTTAGGCCAGATTTGCCTAAAACTCACTATGTTTTAGGCTGGCCTTGAACTCATGGCAATCCTCCTGCCTCAGTCTGAGCCACTACATCTGACTCCCTAACTTTTAAAAGTTTCCCACCTCCCAGAATCATTACCTGGGGACTGAGCTTTTAACCCTTTAGCCTTTCAGGAACATTGAGGATCTATGCTGTAGCGCCCTTCTTCCCAGTACCATGTCTGTGTTCGTTTTACTTCTGTTGGTTATCTTAGGACAAGAATTTATCTAGTGTACCATCACTGGCACTGTGATAACAGTGGTTGATGTTGGACTTGTAGTGTGAAGTCTAACTCTTCTGACAAGCTGCCTTCTAATAAAAAGGACTTTAAGTAACTTTTTTTTTTTTTTTTGGTCTTTTGAGACAGGGTCTCCCTGTAGCTTCAGCTGGCTTAGAGTTCCCTATGTAGACCAGGCTGGCCTTGAACTCAGAGATCTGTCTGCCTCTGCCTCCCAAGTGCTGGGATTAAAGGTGTGTGCCACCATGCCCAGCTAAACTTTAAGTAACTTTTAAATGTAAGAACAAGCATACAGGAGACTTCCTCCATGTATATGAAGCTAGTTTAAACTATCTGAATGTAAATGTGACTATGACAAAATACCTGATATAGCCTGAAAGCAGGAAGGATTTATTTTTGGCTTATGATTTTAGAGGTTTCAGTCTGTAGTCTTTGGCTTTTTTGATTCTGGGTAAGGCAGGGAAGATGAGCGTATGGCAGGGGCTATTTACCTCCTGGCAGACACGAAAAGAGGGGAGGAGGAAGGGGCCAGGGACAAGATACAGCCCCTAAGTAGATACAGTCCCCCCAATTCTGTGACCTACTTTCTCTAGTTAGACCCCACTTTCTGAAGTTTCCTAAATCTCCCAAAATAGGTCCATCAGCTAGGGACCAAGTTTTAAACACAGGGGAAGGACATTTCCTATCCAAACCGTAACTATGGAGTTGGAGGAAAACAATTATAATCACCTTGGCTACTTTTGTTATAGGACCTAAGCATTAAACATTTTCTGAGTGTCCTTATAGCCAAGAGGAAAAGGGAAATATGATGATGAAGTACCTAATTATCATCTAATAATAAGCCAATAGCTATATTGGTTGCCTGCTGAGAAAGAAAGTTTTTAATGATACTGATCTAAGTATCATAACTGATCTAAGAGTATTTTTTATTTATTATTTTTATTTTACGTGTATGAGTGTATTGCCTGCATGTATGTGAGTGCACCCGTGTCATGCATTGCCATGGAGGTCAGAAGAGGGCTTTGGATTCCCCTGGAACTGGAGTTAAGGACAGTTCGTAGCCACCATGTGGGTGCTGGGAATTGAACCTGGGTCCTCTGCAAGAGCAGTCAGTGCTCTTAACCGCTGAGCCATCTCTCCAGCCCCAGAGTATTTTTATAATAGACATCAAACCATACATTGGACACTGCCTTTAACAAAGTTGTTTCAGAAAATACAGGGAATTTTTTTGTAATCTGAACCTTTTATAGACCCTAATAAAATCTGTAGGCATACAAAAAAGGATTCTACGTGTGGTGGTTTGAATGAAAATGTACCCCATAGGATCCAAGTATTTGGACATTTTGTCCCCAGTTAGTGGCATTGTTTTGGGAGGTCTTAGAAGGTGTGGCTCTCCTGAAGGAAGCACATTACTGGGGGCAGGCTTAGAGAGTTCTTAAGCCTTGCCAGATCTCCAGTTGTGCTCTTGCTTCCTGTGCCTGCTTGAAGATGTAGTGCTTAGCTTCTGCTCCTCCAGCCACCTCTGCCACCATGCCTCCCCACCAAGATGGACTGTAATTACCCTGGAACCATAAACTCAAATAAACTCTTCCTTCTATAAGTTGCTTAGGTCAGTGTTTCTATCACAGCAACAGAAAAGTAACTAATACAGTAATTGGTACCAGAGAGTGGATTGTTGGCTGTGAAGAACCTGATCATGTGGAGTTTTGGAAGAATATGGTAGCCTTTGGAAGTTTGGGACTAGAAAAGTGGTTGATTGATGTAAGCAGAGTTTAACAGCCTGTTCTAGTAGGAAGAAAGTAGTGTTGCGAATAATGTAGTTCAAGGGGGAAATAAGGACTTAAGCAGTAATTGGGATATTTTGGCAAAGCATCTGGCTGGAGTCTGCCCACTGCCAAAAAGCTTGCCTGAGGCTAAGTTGAAAACCAATGGACTAATTTCTCTGGTGGAAGAAATTTCAAGACAGCCTAATGTAGCAATGGCAGCATGGCTATTAATGGTGGCTATTATGCAGATCAACAGTGAAAAAGAGCAAATGGGGTAGAAAGAAATACAGAATGTACAGTTTGGATTGAAAAAGAGCACTACTAAGATAAATGTTGAAGCCCTGGCATATGCTGGAGAGGATCCCTTTGATAAGGAGATTAAAGTGATTAAGGAGGGGCCTAGAGATTTGCACTTAAACAATGAAGAGAGTGCCTCCAGGGCAAGGCTACACCCAGTTAAGCCTCCAATTGGTGAAAGGAAAATGCTTCAGGGACCACTGAAGAGAAAAGCTTCTAAAATGGATAAAGCAGGCTGGGGTCCATCCCAAACTTGCAGTCACACTTGGCAGTGTCATTCACCTGGTGCTGGCTTCAGAGGCATAAAAGATGCAAGAGTGAAGGGGTTCTCCCTCCTTGGTTTCAGAGAGCTGCCAGGGCCAGGCAGCATTGCAGCAGGAGTACTCCTGCATAAAGAAGACCTTGATAGGACACTGTGTAAAGCCGTGAAGGTAAAGCCTGGTTGGCAGTGGAGACCCCAAGAAAACGTTCATGATGCCAGAGCTGTGAGACATGTGACAAGAAGACCTGCATACAGGGAGTGGTACCAGCCCAAGAGAGAGATGTGTGTTGCATGCAGCAAAGCTGGAGAGGCTGAGCCACTAAGTCTTTTGGAAGTAAAGTCCCAGAATTTGGACATGGAGCCACTGGATTTGGTGTTTGTCCTGCTGGTTTTTGGTCTTGTTTTGGTCTGGTATTTCCTCACTATGCCTCCATTCCTCCCTTTTGGAATGGTAATGTGTATTTGGTTCCACTGTATGTTGGAGTATGTAATTTGTCTTTTGATTTTACAGGGGATTACAGTTAAGTGATTTCCCTGAGTCTCAGAAGAGACTTTGGACTGTGGACTTTTGATTAGTATTGAGACTGGTAATGACTATGGGGACTTTTAAGGTTGGACTAAATGCATTTTGCATTTTATATGGTCATGAGTCTATGGGGGTCAAGGGGTGGAATGTGGTGATTTGAATGAAAATATTCCTCATAAGCTCCAAGTATTTGGACATTTTGTCCCCAGATGATGGTGCTGTTTTGGGAAGTCTTAGAAGGTGTGGCTATCCTGAAGGAAGTACATTACTGGAGATGGGCTTAGAGAGTTCTTAAGCCTTGCCAGATCTTCAGTTGTGTTCTTGCTTCCTGTGCCTGCTTGAAGATGTAGAACGTAGCTACATCTTCAGCTCCTCCTCCAGCCACCTCCGCCACCATGCCTCCCCCTACGATGGACTGTAATTCCCCTGGAACTGTAAGCTCAAATAAACTCTTCCTTCTATAAGTTGCTTAGGGCAGTGTTTCTATCACAACAGAAAAGTAACTAATATACTACAGATTTATTTATTTATTTTTCCATAATTAAAACTTTATTGAAAAATTGACACCAAAATAGGAGATTATTGTTTACAGCTTACAAAATCAAACATAATTATATCTTGGTAGAGTAACTGAACTTAAGGCTTTCTGTGAGAAAACACAATTGCAGGAAATTGTATAGATCATTAGTGTTGCTTTCTTCTAAATGAACAGCCTTCTTTGAGTCTGACCTTCCTGCCCATAGGCTGGCACAACACTGTCGAACAGCCTACACAAAGAACCACTGTCTGAGCATGTCTGAAAACTGTGGTAATCTTGTAGCAACCTGGGCATAGTAAATCTCTAGCCAAAGGCATGGTGACCACTTCTCAGCATTGCCACTCCAGGTCTCGGAGGTGAGCGGCTCTGGCCTAGTGGCTGGCAAGAGCACAGCACCAACTTCTGGGATCTACAGATTTATTTTTTAGGGACACAAATTCAGTAAGCATTATTCTTATGTAAATTGAATATAATATATATCATAAAGAATATAGAATCCCTTTAGCAGATTGGATGTGGGATCCTTAGACTGGTGCTTGAAATATTCACTCTGTCAGGTTGATTTTTGACAAAAACTGAATAATAGAGTAAGACTGAAAACATTAGCCAGATTTGGAACAATGTAGCTAGCTAGTGTTTTATCTGTCAAGATAGCCTTTTCTCACAGCTCTTTATATGAAGTCCTAGGTTTTCTCATACTTTTAGCTTTCTTTTCTTGGGATTGTAAAGTTGGGTGTGAAGGTTGGGTATGAAGAATGATAGTCATAGGCTAGAGAAATGGCTCAAAAATTAAGAGAATTTATTGCTCTTTCAGAGGACCTGCATTCAGTTCTTAGCACCTAAATCAGGCAGCTGTTACTTGAGTTCTAGGGAATCTCATGACCTCTTCTGGTCTCCAGCAGCGCTGCACAAACATGGTATGCATACATACAACTCAGACACACATATATACACATAAAAATCAATAAATCCTTTTTTTTTTTTTTTTTGAGACAGGGTCTCCCTGTAGCTCCAGCTGGTCTAGGACTCTATATAGAGCAGGCTGGCCTCAATCTCACAGAGATTTGTCTGCCTCTGCCTCCCAAAAGTTGTGAGCCACCACGCCCAGCTCAGTCAATCTTTTATTTTTTTTGTTTTTTGTTTTTGTCTTTTTGAGACAGGGTCTCCCTGTAGCCCTAGCTGTCCTGTAACTCACTATGTAGACCAGGCTGGCCTTGAACTCACAGAGATCCACCTGCCTCTGCCTCCCAAGTGCTGGGATTAAAGGTGTGCGCCACCATGCCTGGCTCTCAATCAATGTTTTTTAAAAAATAATAACAGTCATTAGAAAATGTTACCATAGCTAGTGCTTCTTTGCTAATGAATATGATTCACACATCAGAAATGGGGGAACACAAGTCTACATATTGAAAAAAATGATTATGATTTGTTGTCGTTGAACCATTTGGTTTTAGTCTCATATGAAGCTATTCAGTAGAGTTTAATTTCCTGTGTTGTTCTTTTGTCTACTGCCAGAACTGAGAAAATTCAGGTCACTCCTGTCTCTCCATCTCTGAAAGAGTTCTCTGAATGGTTTGGAAGGGCAGGGCATTCTGTACTTGTTTTTATTCATTATTTATGTTTGTGTTCAATTATACTCAGTCTTCTTTCAATTATGGAGATGACTCTTAAGCATTTTTGTTTCAGGGAGTAGGTATCTGTTGTAACAATTAGTTCTAGAGAAAAGAGAATTACTCATAATTCTTGTTCTCAGAAGAGATGTGGTACTAATGGATCCCTGGTCTCCCATCTGCTTCCTCTGGAGAGCTACTGTTCTTGTTTACCCTTTGGCTCAGAATTTCCTGAGTTGGAACTCATAGGAGATACTTAGTGTTGTAAACCAGATTGAATCTCCTGGAGAGACTCTACTGCAGGGTTCCAGGATTCTGGCTTATGTTTGTGCTACCCATGATACCTTCTTGTTTCACTGAGTCCTTACTGCGGAGCCTCTGCCCTGCCAGTGAGGCAGGAAGTGGAGCTCAGCGATGGGGGCCTAGGAGGGGTAAGTGCACTGCTCGCCCTTTCACCCGCCTCCCCCAGACTCTCAGACGCAGCAGGGAGTTTACAAAGCTTATAAAGGCAAAACCCACAATCATTAGCATAGGCAGGAACCTATTCTCCAATCCTGTGAAAGGTCACCGTAGAGCATGCAGGCTCCTTTCAATGCACTACTATGGTGATCACGAGGTGCTCACGCATTTTCCTCCTGGTTAGTCTCCAATTACCTACACTTTTTCTTATATTTTGTCCCTGGTCCAGTTCCTTAGCTCCTCCCCCCACTGAGGCCGTCGGCACCATTTTGAACGCAGCTTCCCTACACTTACTATTCTAGACTCGTACCATTTGTGAAATGAAGATCTCCTATGTTGTCTGATATGATAGTCACTAGCCATTTGTGATATTTTCAATTTAAAATGAACTATCATGAAAAAATAATCCAGTCTCTTAGTATCACTAGTCATATTTCAAATGCTCAGTAGCAGCCACACGTGGTGCCACACACCTTTCAGGTAGCCACAACTAACATCTATCAATGCATCTCCAAAGTATATATTTATACTTTTTCTCTTAAACAAAAGAATTTATGTAATTGAAGGTAATAATGCTGAAGGGTAGTGATGCCAAGTGAGAGGAGGGAGAAAATGTCACTTTGTTACATTTGTGAACAGTAGGCTATGAAGGATTTATTTTGTTCCAGTTGAAACTATGTATAAACATAAACCTTGCCAAATAAAGACTTTACCTCACATTGGACCAACAAGTGAAAATAATTAAATCATTAGGGTTTCATGTTTATATGTATGTATGTGTCAGCCTGCATGAGTTTATATGTACCACATGCATGCAGGTGTCCACAGAGACCAGAAGAGGGTGTTGGATCCCCAGGAAATGGAGTGGCAGGCAGTTGTAAGCTGCCCAATATGGGTGTGGGACAGAACCCAGGTTATCTGCAAAAGCAGTATACATTCTTATCTGCTGAGCCATCGCTCCAGCCCCAATCTTAAATTTTGTTTTGTGTTTGTATGAAACAGGGTCTTGCTATGTAGACCAGGCTAGATCCTCTTGCTTCAACCTCTCTAGTGCTGGCTGGGTGGGATTACAGATATATATTCATGCTAAGAAGATTTAAAAATATATCTTTGAGGCTAGAGAAATGGCTCTGAGGTTAATAACGTGTGCTGATCTTCCAGAGAACCCAAGTTCAATTCCCAGCACCCATGTCAGATGGCTCATAATTGCCTTTAACTCCAGCTCCAGCAGGTCCAGTGCCCTCTTCTGGACTCCATGGAACTGCACAATCACCCCCCACATACATATTATTTAAAACACCAAAATAAAATATTTGAAAAATAGCTTTATTACTCTTTGATCACTTCATACCTGTATATAAGGTGTCTTGATCATACTGACTTCCCTCTCTCCTTCCTGCCCCCCTTCCATATGTCCTCTTCCCATTTTTTTTTTTTTTTTTACTTACTCACTGAGTCCAGTTAATATTCTCCACATGCACATGGTTATGGGCCATCCACTGATGCATAGACAACCTACCAGGGGCCACAGTACCAGAAGAAAACTGACTCTCCCATCCTCATCAGTCATCAACTTTTAGTAGTTCCTCACATAGAGGTGGGGCCTCAAGAGCACCTCCTTCAACCATGCTGGAATATTTACTGGTTTGGTCTTCTGTAGGTAACCACAGCTACTGAGTTCATGAGTGTAGCAGCCCTGTCATGTTCAGAAGACAGCATTTCATATCACTCCTCCCCATCCTCTGGCTCTTGCATTTTTTTCCCTGATTTTTTTATTAAAAAGTCAACATTTAATTGAAAATGTGTCCATTTTCACATTGCTTTAATTCATATAGAATGAAGATAAATGGGTCATTTCATATAAAGACCTGTGAGAAAAGGCTATTTTGAAAGAATAAAACACTGGCTAGTTCCATTATGCCAAGTCTGGCTAATATTTTCAGTCTTACTCTAACTACTATTCAGTTTTTGTCAAAAATCAACCTGTCAGTGAATATTTCAAATAGCAGTCTAAAAGATAGGCTCCCACATCCAATCTGCTAAAGGGATTCTATATTATATTCTATATATATTATATTCAATTTACATAAGAATAATGCTTACTGAATTTGTGTCCCTAAAAAATAAATCTGTAGATCCCAGAAGTTGGTGCTGTGCTCTTGCTAAGAACACTGGTTGTTTTTGCAGAAGACCTGGGTCCAAATCCCAGGACCCACATGGCAGCTAACAATTATAACTCCAGTTCCAGGGCATCCAACAGCCTCTTCTGTCCTCTTCGGGCATTGCATGACATGGGTGCACTTACCTACATGCAGACAATACATACTTACACATAAAATTTTAAAAAAAAATTGTAGACTCCTTTCTTGTATGCCTACAGATTTTATTAGTATCTATAAAAGGTTTGGATTACAAAAAAAATTCCTGTATTTTCTGAAATAACTTTGTTAAAGGCAGTGTCCAATGTATGGGGCTTTTTTTGTTTTTTTTTTTTGATCTTTTTGAAACAGGGTCTCTCTGTAGCCCCAGCTGGCCTGGAACTCACTATGAAAATCAGGCTGGCCTTCAACTCAAAGAGATCTGCCTGCCTCTGCCTCCCAAGACCTGGGACTACAGGCGTGCGCTACCATGCCCAGCTCCAATGTATGGTTTGATGACTATTATTATAAAAATACTCTTAGATCAATTATTACTAGTACCATAAAAAAGTTTTTTTTTTCTCAGCAGGCAACCAATATAGCTATTGGCTTTTTATTAGATGATAATTAGGTACTTCATCATCATATTTCCCTTTTTCTCTTGGCTATAAGGACACTCAGAATACATTTAATGCTTAGATCCTATAACAAAAGTAGCCAAGGTGATTATAATTGTTTTCCTCCAACTCCATAGTTATGGTTTGGATATGAAATGTCCTTCCCCTGTGTTTAAAACTTGGTCAGGGAGACACAGGAAGCAAGAGAGTGACTTGAGATCCCCCAAGGCTTCAGAACTCTCTAAGCCTGACCCCAGTGATGTGCTTCCTTCAGCATAGCTACACACCTTCTAAGGCCTCATAAAACAGAGTCACCAACTGGGGACAAAATGTCCAAATACTTGGAGCCTATGGGGGACATTCTCATTGAAACCATCACAGATCCTATCTCAAAAAACCAAAAATAAATAATAAAATAATAAAGTGCTAAATATTTCTAGCTAAAGCCCTTGGCAGCAGTGCCAGGTTTTCTGTTTCTTACTGCCTGGAGTTC